GCAGCAGCAGCAGCAGCAGCAGCAGCAGCAGCAGCAGCAGTAGTAGTAGTAGCACCAGCAGCAGCAGCCGTGTACTGCAACTATGTAGCCTCGCTGGCTGGCTACAGCTGGCATGGCTGGTTGGCTGGCCACCCCCCACGGTGTCGTACCTATCCAATTAGCTCACCGATCTATTAAGCTATCTCGTCCGCTGTTCGAGAGATATCAAATAAATAGTATAGACTATAGTATAGTGAGACAAGCCTGCCGCTCGAACCAGGAGTGAGTACTCCAGAGGCAGACACAGACATAGCCACAGACACACACAAACACACACACAGACACAGAGTTGACACACAGAGAGATGCTCGTCTCCTGTTGTACGTTATAGATTTATACCCGATGATTTGTACGCGTATCTGAACAACTAACTACTGACGTCGACGGCGACTGAAGTCGTCTCCGACATGGCGGTTGACGTATTTACCGCGTCGGTTGACGGATTTCCCGCAGCAGTTGACGTATTCGCCGCGGCGGTTGACTTATTTACTGCGTCGGTTGACGGATTTCCCGCAGCAGTTGACGTATTCGCCGCGGCGGTTGACTTATTTACTGCGTCGGTTGACGGATTTCCCGCAGCAGTTGACGTTTTCGCCGCGGCGGTTGACGTATTTCCCGCAGCAGTTGACGTATTTACCGCAGCAGTTGACGTATTTACCGCTAGGGTGTGTTTCTACAAGCAATTCTTCTCTTAGAAGAGAAAAAAGTAGCAGACTGTTGCTGACTAGCGGACATATCGTGTTGTAGCATGTTCGCTGATGAATTCTGTTACGAATGATGAACGAATGATGGTATTATTAACATGTCAAAATGTTCTTCTTTGTTAAATTGCTGTTAGTGAGAGAGAGCTGGTGGAGTGTGTGTCATTCGTTGTAGAACCGAGCACATTTTTTATGTACGTAAAATGTACGTAAATTTAAACGTAAATCTACGTTCCCCCTTACGCACGTGCTCGGCCAGTGCTGCCATCTGACGGCCACGTGACGTGCCGCGTGTGTTAGCGTGAGGGGAAGGCGGTGTTAGAAGCTGCTGATATTGCTGCGCGTGTGTACATAGTTGTTTGCATGAAGACATAATGATAGATTTTGTTGTTTCGTAGAGGAGGGTGCAAGCGAGTGGGGCTAGGGCACGAAGCTAGCTGTTTTGTTGCCATGACGACTATTGTCGAGAAAGAGATTGCGTGCGCGCCTCGCCCCGTTGTCACTTCTCCCACGAGTGATATTTGCCAACGTGTTGAACGGATGATTTGTATGTTGTTCGATGAACTGAAACCTGTACTGTTTACGTTACGTTTTCTAAATGAATGTATATTTACGATGATTCGCGGCGAGACACGACCTACCGTCGGCTCGCCGCGCGTCGCCCCGACCCGTGGCGCCATCTATGTCGTCCTGGCCGCGTCGCCATCCGTACAAAACCACATACCACTATATATATAGTATTATAATAGCACAGACGAACGCTGGAAAACCGTCGCTAACGAACGAACGAACCGAAGAATCGAGAAGTTTACGTTCGCGGCAACACCAGCCGATCCCGCCACCGCCAGGTGGCGTCGTTGTCTCGACGTCCGGATCAGGGATCGGTCGTTGCCACGACGTCATTTGCTGTTTGTATTCGCGGCGTTTCTCAGACGTCGGTGTCGACAACTTTGTAGTGAAATTGTACATTTGCTCAAATATTTCATAGACAATCTTCCAAGAAGGTAAATCTTTTTCTCCCGCGTTCGGTAACCTAGACTTTCAGTGTAGTTTGTGTAACATATGGTCGGAAGAAATAAATCGTACGTTCTTTCAGTTATACGCGCACTGTTCTGTGGTTTGTTGAGTATTTCTCGTGTCTTGCTGGGCGTAGCGATCGTCCTCCACTCACGCTCACGACCCTTTACCAGGGCTGTAGGCTGGCAGGCAATTCTCCTGGGCGGGGCGGGCGGCAAATTCTCATGAACTCAACTGGTAACGATGAGCGACGGCGCACTCGTTGATCGATATCATAGTGTGGCCGTATTTGTGTGCTGAACAAAAGCTTTCACGGATAAATGACCAAAAAAATCACGTTATGGTTATTTACGATTATTAGCTAAGCTTATTTGTTAATTTTGCTCCAAAATCTAGGGGAGGGCAGCTTCCCCCCCTTACTCCCTCCACAGGCTACAGCCCTGTTATGCTTTTCTCTCTATCATGGCCGCCATCACGTCTAGGGGATGGCAGCTTCCCCCTTGCTCTCGCCCCTCACACCGGCTACAGCCCTGTTTATGCTTTTTCACTCTCCTAATGCGCCATTCACTCGTAGGGAGGGCAGCTTCCCCCCTTGCTCCCCGCCCTCCACAGGCTACAGGGCCCCTGTTTATGCTTTTCTCTCCATCATGGCCGCATCACGTCTAGGGGAGGGCAGCTTCCCCCCTTGCTCCGCCTCTCACAGGCTACAGCCCTGTTTATGCTTTTCTCGGGTTCGCCACGGATGAGTCATCCGTTACGTGAGTACTATGAAGGGCAACCACGAGTTATCTTCTTGCCTTTCACTACGAGACCGTGGAACAGTCGTAGAGCCTGGTAGTACGCTACTATGATGTCAGGGATTCAAACTGGTTCTTCAGGGTTTTACATTATGTCTTGGAAAAACGAGTGCGCGAGTTACGTTCCGGCATTGTTCCGCACGAGCTCGTGTCCCCTTGTCAAGAGGAGCCAGCGAAAAGAATGACACGACAACGACGCACAAATAACAACGACAACAATAATTTAATCAAATAACCAAATGATTATTGTTATATTCCTCTTCTAAATAACGTAGACATACACACTGATATTACAGATCAAAAAACAGCTAAACCATCTCATTTCCGTGCTTCGCATATACGTAGCTGCCGCATTTCCCTGCTTCCCCGGTGCTATACGTACATCAACGACCGCAATGTCAATGAGTGTGTTCATCACACGTAGTTCCGTGTAGATATCATTGGTGGTTATCTAAATACCTGAATGAAAAATTATTTGGAACGGTACGTATGAATGAATAATCATCTAATATCTAAATAATTCGATGAAAATACACACGACAATACCCGGCCACAAGCAATTCCAATGGAAAAATTAAAAGCATTCCTACACACACTCACCTTCTGCTTACCTACCGCTTAGCTCCAAAACATCCTGTATTTATTTCATATGGCCTTACCAAAACATTCCCTTCTCGGCATTTGAAAGTTCTCTGGTACCCTGTCTTCACTCTCTTCTACACATTGTTATATTTAGAGGGAAAGACGTTACGCCAGTTCTACAGTAATCGATTCTGCCCTATATATATTATATATATATATTATATTATAGTATACTATAATATGAAATATTATAATGTATTGGATATATTTAATTTTCGCAGGCAGAGGGCAGACCACTATTGCGGGTTGTCGCTGTTCGATTGGCAATTA